GAATGGAATGCTGAAGGGACCGCAACGGCTGGGACGAAAATATGCACGTTCTCATAGGCGACCAGCTGTGAAAATTTTGGAACAATTAGAAGAAAGATTAGAATACCATCAGAGGCGTATACATACCACACCATAAAAAATACGACTGTGGTATGCTTACCATCGGCGGGTGTGGTACGACTGCCTCACTTGTGACTGGCTTGATCACAAAAGGGCGGGAAACAAGCATAGGTCATGCAGTGCTATGTAACGTCTCCCGCGTATGTCTGTATGTACATACATACATCACTGGTCATTTATGTAATGCATGTATGTCTGTATCTATCTATATATGTATCTATTAGTATAGGTTGACAAAATTTGTTCCTTTAAGCAGGTTTCATTGAAGACCAGAGAATTTGTTTTATTAGCAATTTTCATATTAGATTTTTCAATAAATCGAACAATATTTTTCGTTTGCACTGGTAAATCGAAAATCAGCATAGGTACCGATGGACATTTTTATTTCTTTAACAACGTTTCAAATGTATTAATCATTCATTATCAAGTTAAAAGTGCAAACGAAAAAATATTGTTTGATCTATTGAAAACACTAGAAAATTGCCAAAAAAGAATTTTCTGGTCTTCAATGAACTATGTATGTATCTACACTATCTATCAATGTATCATAATGTATGTATTTATCTACTTGCAAGAAAGAGAAGACAGTACAATGGAGCCCGGTCAAGCGTCCCTAACGCGTCACGATGTAATGTAAACAATCCGACCAAGAGCAGCGTTGCCAGATGGTATATTTCTATACCAGATTTCTTAAATCTGGTATTTTCAGAAGGTGTCTGGTTTGAATATTTTAGATCTGGTATATTTGCCTAAATCTAGTATTTTTCTGGTATTTTATGTCTTGCTGCAAATTTACTGCATTAAATTCCACCTCTGAAGTTCGAACATTCTCCAGCGTAGGCGTGGATTTTATAGATTACCTTCAGAGCGGTGCGACTAGAGGTTTCCCGCCATTTTTCGAACCGCTAGTTTACCGCTTGATGAAATAACCCCGATCTAATTGTTAACATTTACCAAAAGTGCTTAGTGCAATATAAGCACGAGAGTGATGATCCTTGATTGATTACAGATCATTGATGATATGGCCTAGGACGAGTGAGGTTGTCGAACCGATCTCTGCGACGCAAGCTCCACCATGTTTATTTGGTGGTTTGGAATTCTAGTTTGCCACTTATTGGAGTGCCGCTTGAATTCTGCGGTGCCATTCAATATTTCACTGATCTTGAAAATCATCATCCATTCATAGAACTGGCTGCCTACTGCATCACTTGTTTACTTTGACCTGTCTGCAATGCATTCATCATTCGTGAAGCGAGTGTTTTCACAATTAAGTCACCTATGTGAAAAATAAGCAACGAAATAAAATTTCAACTAAGGTACTGGAGTCCCTTATTCGGATCAAAAACTATTTGCTCAGCCGCAACAAGTGATCAAACTCAAAATGTTAGATTAATGCAATATGCAAGCATGTACGAAAATAAGCAAAAGGAAGATGACCTGTTTCCGTGACTTGCTCATGTTGAGCGAAGGGAAAAGTGCCACACTGTGATAAAAAAGGAAAAAGTGTCAATATAATCAAACACAGGAAAAGAAAAGTATCATAATGTTCCAAATCGAGGGAAAAAATATAATATGTTCAATTTGGCTAATTATTGTCAAGCCAGATAAATGCACAGTACATAAGATATTTTTTTTCTTTTTCTAGCCAACGTTTCTGACGGATAGTTTAATTAAATTTGGAGGTATTAGTCTGTTTTTGAACAATAGAATTTCTGGTATATTTCTGGTATTTTGAGCTAGGCAATCTGGTATTTTCGCCAAGAAAAAACCTGGCAACACTGATCTGGGTGCGTTATGTTATGTCATGTGTACTTTGAATGTGCAAAAATTATAACTATCATATGAAAATTGTTACGTAGGTTATCATAGCACAAATCAACACATTTAGATTGAAATTCTTGCATTTAATATATTTCTCAGTCTTCGGCCAACTATTTAGAAAAAAGTAAGGTTTCCGGTACGTTGGATGGATTACGATGCAGCGAAGCTTGTCCGGAAATCAGTTGCGATGAGTTTCCGCAAACAATGTAAACAACGTTTTTTTGATTGTGTAGTTTCGGTCACATTAGATGATTAGAGTGGTCAGACTGCTTTAATACATGTTCAGTTGACACTTGCTGTACAATCGGACTGTTTTTAGGGTAAAATTAGTTATGTGGGGTAACACGTGCCTGCAACCTTTTAAATACGTTTGTGGCTTGTAAATAGTTCG